ACTTATGTACAAAAAAATGAGTTTAAAATCGATCAGAGTAGAAAATTAAATTTCTTTTTTGCTGTACTCCTTATGGAAGCGGTGCCAGCCTGCGCTCCTATACTGACAATCTGGTCGGTTTTGAACACATAAAGAGAGATAGTCAATGCATGAGTTAATTAAACTCTTATACCTTACAAATTCTGAAGTTATATAGAAACGATTGTTTGTTAAAGATATAATAAAAAGTAGACTTTTTCGGCCCAAAACCCACGAACTATAAACTTAAAATTAGTTTCCGCAGAAAGAAGAAGGAAAGAGAATCTTGCTTTATCTACGAATAAACATCATAAATTTTCAGCAAAAAAATGGCTCCATTCACGGAGGTTAAGTAATGAGTCAAGTTAAAAGGTAAAAGGTCATGTAATACTCACAAGTCAAGTTTTACACGGTATCCACGTCTACTATGGAGACAGATCAGATTTCAACTTCTCAATTTCCGCTTCTTCGCACGTGAGGAAGCGTGCTAGGAATGGGAGTACCGAGTGCTGATATGCTGATGTGCGGCAAGAATATGACGGAAGCCTCGACGCATGGGACGGGAAGACTTCACATTCATTAGTTTAGAGTGGAGAGGGTGGGTGACCTCATTAAGAATACGATCGGCAAATTGCTTGACCATTATAAAGTGGCGTTGTACTATAATATGGGCTGGGATTAGGATTGTCAATTTTAAACCTCTCCCAGTTGCCCTGGTCTGTTCCGAAGGGTTTCCATGAAGTCCTCCGGCTGCACTAAGGACAAAGTTTTTCTCATCTGCCTCCCGCCACGAGATCCTCTGCTAACAGAGTCAAGTCGGCTGCTGCCCTCGAATTTTTAGCTAGGCTCTTGGCATTTCCTTTTACCGTCGGCGTTTCACTCCCAAACATCTGAGACTCTAGCGCCATTTTCCCGCCTTAATCAACTTTGTCCACTTTTAGGCAGTCAAAAAGGCAGCTGCAGCGCATTCTCAATTCGGAATTAGG